ATTCATTCACTTATGTAATTTTACTGTGGAACCAGACACGTGATGTCCCTTAACTGCGATAAAAATGTGTGACTCTTAAAAATGACAACATTCAAAGCACCAAGAGTTATAAAATATTAATCAATTACTCTTGTGATTTATTTAGGGTGTACTGTAATTATAGAGCATCTTATGGTGTGAGTAACTGGAAGCAGGCAGTTCTTCTGTTATTTGACACCAAAGAACACCCCACAATTCCCACAATCAAGCATCAATGACAAATAATTTGGAATATTTTTATGTATAAAGCTCGATATTAGCTTTCAAACCAAGAACATCGAAATTTACAGGTGATTTAAAATTCTTTGAGCCTCATCAGATGAAATTTATTTATTTGTTTTTCTTGCGCTTGTTGGAATAAATAAACTATGCTCTAAAAGAAAAATGCACAACATTATCAAAACGTTTGCAAAAAGCTGTGAAACAGAACGGAAGTTGATTGAATGGTATGTGCAGTCATTTTTCATGTGGACAAATGTGAAAAATCATAATACTTCTTTGCTCCATCCTATTTTTTCGTTACACAAAGAAAACTCCTTTTCTAAATGGGCTGCAAAAGTTCACTTTTTCCCTAAAGCATTTTGGGTGTGGTCGAACATTGCAAACTTTCTTCTACCAATCTTTTTCCCTACTTTCTCTATTTCCGATGGAAAACTGCAAAGGAAAAGAAAAAACCATTGCCTGTACTCTCTTCGATGTCTTTGCATACTTTCCCTTCTTCTTAAGAAAGTCATTAAGTGCACCACCGGTGACTAACTCCATTACAAGGTAATATGGCTGTAAACCAGAAGATTGAGAGTGCGCGATAACTTTAATGGATGCTCTGAACGGGGAAGAAAAATGCAATATTCACAAAAAATTGACCTCGGTGTCGTTTGCGACTCCATACATTCGAACCACATTCGGATGGTCATACATCTGCATCACTCTCGCTTCTTTCCACAAGGCGTGCGAGTTCTCTGGGCTCATGTCAGAGAGAACTTTCACGGCTACCTAAGACGCTTTAGAAAAATCGTCTGTTAGTTAGTTAAATATAGTTAAATAGTTTTAATGCCTAGAAACTGTTTTTTAAATGCTTTAAATTATAAAAAAACAGTTTTCTATATCTGAACTAACTAGGGAAGGTAAAAAAAAAACCTTTCAACATGGAATAAGGATGTTGGTAAAAGTCTATTATAACTCTGCGCAGTGAAATCGTAGGGCGACCAAACAAGAATTGTAATGGGTAATCTCTTCTTACCCGCTTCCATCCTCCCTTTCCTTCTAGTATTTTTTGTTGCATAAAATCTTACCCCC